TTTGTAGTTTTTATTTGTCTTTCTATATTAATAGGTGATCAGCTGTCACTTCTCACAGATGTTGTCCCAGTCCCCCCTCCCCCTCCAGTCCCTGTTATATAATAGAATCTTGAGAAGGAAATGGCTTAGCTTGTCAGAATTGTGTCAGATAAGACTAAAACGGCACAAAGTGGAGGCCTGAGGGATCCCGCTGGGAGTAAAATAAATGAACTTTATTTGGTACGTGGACTTTGTGATGTGTAATTTTGAATGCTTAGGGTCCTTTTAAGGTTAATTCCTGGTGCTGGGGCTGTGTTTCTACTTTGGAGTTACGAGGCGCTCTTCAGGCTACTGGTACACACAGCCATTGGATGCCGCACCATCATCTCCCTGGCATGTGAGGAAAGGGTTAGTGAAAAGTTCCATGGGTTAATTTTTTTAACTAAACAGTGCTGATTTATATAGTCAGTTTTAAAAATTCGTTCCATAAAATGATGGTGCTTGATTGTAATTATAAGCCTAATCTAAACCAACTCCTTACTCCTTTTTGCCTTAAATTTGTCATATACAATTTTAACAGTACCTTCTTTTCCTCAAATGAGGTCAACTCTGAATAATAGAGCCTGGTCATAGTAGGTGGTCAGTAAATATATATTGAATGAATGAATGAATATTACTACTATAATACAGTTAATATAACTGACTTAGATATGTAGATAAAGGTAATTTATAGCTTTTTATGGCCACAGCTCATAGGATATCTTTGGCACATTACCCTGGTCCTAGATGATACCATTTGTAAGGGCCAAAGAAATCTACTAGATGGCATGCCTTAACTTGCACCGTTTTCTTATTTATATCTATAGCACTTATTTGCCTGGCTATTCTATCTAGTGCATTGTAGGCCCTATGTTATTATTCCAAATACTAATTTTCTAGATAATATAAAAGGGTAAAAATACCATGATTTATCTCTAATATTGATAACCATCCAGGGGAAAATTATAAAGATAAAAATATATCTTCTAATTCTTACTCAGAACGGGGAAAATAGAGAAATATGCTTGGCTTGAATAATATGTGAAGAGAGTATAAAATATTATGTTGGTTTTCGTTGCCTTCATCTTTTTTATGTGCATTTTGTCTTTTTTACTAGACTTCTTATGCTCTTTGAAGACAGAAGTATGCCACATATTTCTTTTATATAATTTCGTAGTGCCTCTTGGCCCTGGTGGCACAGTGGTTAAGAAGTGGGCTGCTAACCAAAAGGTCGGCAGTTCAAATCCACCAGCTGCTCCTTGGAAACCCCACGGGGCAGTTCCGCTCTGTCTTAAAGGGTTGCTGTGAGTCGGAATCGACTCGACAGCAACGGGTTTGGTTTTGGTTTATTATGTATAGTGTTTCTATACAGTATATACTCAATAAGTATTTTTGAGTGACTGCTCTCTGTAACCTCGTAGCGTCAGGGCTAAATTATTTGAAGTGGGGGAAGTGTCAAATGTGTAAACTCACTTTCCCATAACAGCATTTCTGATTTAAAGGGGGCACCTTTGGTTCTTAGTTTTCTGAAATAAAAAGGTAAAACATACTGGATAGTAAATCATCAGTGAAAAAATATCTAATATATAGTTTAAGAAGAAGTTTTTTTTTAAACAAATATACTGACTTTAGAAGTAATCAGATTGATGGCAGTAAATACTGAGGACTAAATTTTATTACAATATTTCGAGGTTTTAAAGTGCAACACTTCTGTGTGTATTTCCAGAATTTATTGTGAGGATAAACAGACCTTCTTACAGGACTGTGAAGATGATGGAGAGACAGCAGCTGGTGGGCGTCTTCTCCACCTCATGGAGGTAAGTGAAGTTAAGCCCCGTTAATTCTGTTCTATATGAGCCATAAAATTTCTCAACACAGCAGAGCTCCATTTAGGCATAAGTAAATCAGTTAAACGGTATAACATAAGCTATCTTGGATTTAGTTAATTTGTAAACTTTGAAATTTTTAACCAGTGACTGTGGAATAGAAAGCGAAGGGTTAATAACAAGTGCTGTGCTTTCCAGCTTTTTCCAACTCATGTTGTTGTTAGCTGCCATCAAGTCAGCCCCCGACTCATGGGTGACCCCATGCATAATGGCATCGGACTGTTGTGATTCATAGAGTTGGCTGATTTTTCAGAAGAAGATTGCCAAGCATTTCTTCCTAGTCAGTCTTAGTCTGGAAACTGTGCTGAAACTTGTTTAGCATCATAGCAACACTCAAGCCTCCAGTGACAGATAGGTATTGGCTATACTTGAGATATATTGGCAGGGAATCAAACCTGGGTCTCCCACCTGGAAGGCAAGAATTCTACCACTGAACCACCACTGTGCCCTTTCAACTCATAGATACCTTTTATCATCAACTCTGGGAAATGTTTTCCTCTTTTTTTTTTTTGACAATTTCTTCCCCTTTGTTTTCTTTGTACTGTCTTTGTAGAACTCTTGTTAGTTAGATATTGGACCTTCTGGATAGATCCAGAATGTTTCTTTTTTATTAAGTTGTCTATCCCATTGTCTTTGTTTTAATTTCTGAGAGATAGTCTTGACTATCTTCCACAATTTCTGTTGAATTTTAAGTTTTTTTAGTAAGCGTGTGTCTCAGTCATCTAATGCTGCTATAACAGAAATACCACAAGTAGATGGCTTTAACAAAGAGAAATTTATTCTCTTACAGTCTAGTAGCCTACAAGTCCAAATTCAGGGTTGTCAGCTCCAGGGGAAGGCTTTCTCTCTGTCGGCTCTGAGGAAAGGTCCTTGTCATCAATCTTCCCCTTGGTCTAGGAGCTTCTCTGCTCAGGAACCCCAGGTCCAAAGGATGCACTCTGTTCCAGGTGCTGCTTTCTTGGTGGTATGAGGTCCCCATGTCTCGCTGCTTGCTTCTCTCTTCTCTCTTTTATATCTCAAAAGAGATTGGCTTAAGACAAAACCTAATTTTGTAGATTGGGTCCTGCCTCATTAACATAACTACCACTAATCCCATCTCATTAACATCATAGAGATTGGATTTACCACACATAGGAAAATCACATAAGATGACAAAATGGTGGACAGTCACACAATAATGGGAATCATGACCTAGCCAAATTGATACACATATTTCTTGGGGACACAGTTCAATCCATGACACCGTGTATTTAATTTTCAAGAGTTCTTTCTTATTCTTCATTTTTCCTTTTTCATAATGTCCTGTTCTAGTTTTATGGATGCAGTATCTTCTAAAACTTCTAAGTATACTAATTAGAGGTTTTTGTTTTTGTTTTGTTTAAAGATGTTTTGTTCTTTAAAATCTTCCTGGTCAGTTTTAGTTTAAATTGCCCTTTCTCTTTCATGTTTCTGGATTAATCTGTCTGGCGACCGTTGATTGTCCATTAATTTTAAGAATAAGAATTTGTTTTTTGTCTGAGGCAGTTGTTAGAGGGTCTTCTGCTGTTGTATTGTGGTTTGTTTTCCAAACAGACCTTTCGCTTGAATGGGAATTCTGTATGTGGGCAGGCTTATAGACTTAGGAACTTCACTTTAAAGGCAGTACTTGACAGAATGTCAAAATGAGGAAGGCTTTACTGGTATGCACCAGTGGTTATTCTTTCAGCTCTCATTCTCTCCAGTGGTTTGTTCAGCAGCAGATTTTTTGTTGTTTGGCCTAGGGGTAACAGGGTAAACTGAGTTATTCTGGTTGAAGTCATGAAGAATTGGAACCCTGCCTGTATGGTCTCCCTTCATTCTGCCTGGTTACCCCAAAATTTGGAACCTTAGGACAGTATGGTGCAGAGTGTTTATGTTCCAAGTTCCCTTCTTGGTCTAACATCCCATACCCTGAATTGTTAATAGCCTCACTCATTACTTACTCTCATGGTTCTGCCATGAAAGTCACTGGAAGATTTCATGTATGATTTGATTGTATATTTGGATTATTTCTTTCTCCTTGAAAATTTGTACATGTATTATATATGTGTATCTATTTATCCCTCTGAAAATAACAGATTTTGAACGTGAGGAATGTCTTGGTGATAGTATCACGCTGGTACGGAGGTATTCTGATAGGACCAGATCGCTTTAAGCATATCAACAACTGTGCCAGAAACATACTCCTGGAGAAGAACTATATAACTTTACCGGTAAGTGGTTATTGATCATGTATCTAGAAAGTTTCTCATCACTGCCTGTGAAGTAAAACAAAACAAAAGACAGACAATTGAGAACAAATCAGAATGTGTATGGTGCATTAGAAAACCCTTTGGACTAGGAAGCTGGTGATTCAGGTTCTAGTCCAAAGATTGGGACTGGCCAGTTTTGTGACTTTGGGCAGATCACTTATTCTCTTTGAACCTTAATTTCACAGAATCATAGACTTTTATAATTAGAAAAACTTTTCAAGACCACCTAGTTTCCACCCCATGAGATTGAGGCCCAGAGAGGTTGTAGCCAACGTTGAACTGGACTAGATGTTCTTTAAGAATATTATGCTCTAAAATTGTGTAATTCTCTGTTAGGCTCACACCATCTCCCTTTCCCTTGGCATGCCTTCAGATGCCTTCATCCTCATTTTTTGAGTTAATGTTTCATATTTTAAGTCTATTTATATCTATTTTATTTAAACTTTATTTACTTTGGAAAGTGAACAAGAGATTAAATAATATTTAAATTATGCAAACATTAATCTATTATATAAATAAATGTTTTTCTAGATTACTCTTGATTGTTTTGAAAATATTACAGTAGACTATAAGTGAAAGAGTGCTCTGTAAAACAGAAGGATGATACATATGGAAATGATTATATCGTCACCATTATGTGTATTTTATATGACTATCTTTAAGGTTCCCTAAGCCAGCATCTTCATATAAATGGGGAGATACTGCACTGATTTGTGTCTTTTTCAGGAGGAATCGTCTAAGGCTGTGGGAAAGAACAAAAAAGTGAAGAAAGACAAGAAGAGGAGTGAGCATTAATACCTGAAACTATGGAAGGTTAATTTGCCTGTAATCACATTGAAATTATACAATCATCAGGCAATATATTGTGCAGAGAGAGCATCGCTGACTGCTCAAGTCAGCCAATTCATTGTGGACACCAGCATTATCTTTGCTTCTTTGGTTATATCATCTGCCAAAAATAGAGAGCTTATGATATATCCATGTGTGTTTCAGGCTTATTCGGAAGAATTACTTTGAACTTAATCACCACTTCGTCTAATTTTAGGAAGGTAACAGTTGCCTGGGGCAGTACCTGAATTAACTGCCCATTTCAGTTACATGACAAGTACCTTTGTTAGGTGGGGAAGAAATTTCTCTAGAGGTATATAAATACCTTACTTCTTGTCATTGGAATTCTCATTCCATTAAATGAATATTTCCTTTTACTGCTCTTCATACCTTATTGGAATAGGAGCTCACTCAAAATTGATCTTGGAGAGTTTCTACTTGTGATTTTCATTCATAAGTATGTCACCTTTCATTCTATAGTGTTCATCATCAAGTAATGAATTAAGTGAAAATCCAGGAGTCTCCATCTGCAGACATGTGCTTAGGTGGTAATTCTCCTAACATATTTGTTAGCATAAATGTTATGCCTCAATTTCTGTAGCAAATTGGTGATTGTGAAATTTTAAAAAGTGATATTCTAGTCTCTACCTGCTTTAAGTTAATTCTTGTAAAGTAATAAATATGGGGTGTCAGTAGGCTCCTCCCACCCCAGAAATGTGCTAGTGTAACATTCCGATTTTTTTTAATAACGTGTCAGTACCTTTTTTGTGCTCTTCATTGAGGAATTGGAACTATGCTAGAAGCTATGCCATGGCTAATGGGACATTTATAGAATGATATAGAGGGTGGCAGAATAATACTGATATAGAGCAAAAGTATATTGTATAGTTAAATAAATTTGATGCACACTGCCATTCCTACTCCAGACATCTTTGTCAATTCCATGATTTTTGTGGAGAGAAGGAACAAACCTTTTGATTGAACAACAGAGAAGATCTCTCTCTATTTTTCCAATCTGATCAAATCTTCCTTTTCATAAATGTTTTGTTTCTTTCATCTGCAGATTGTTCAGTTTACCTCTAGGCATTTAGATAATAAATTTACCTTTGAGATATAATAATAAGTAATTTACTATTTTCTTTGAGATATGATTGCAAGCAATTGTTAAAGAATATTAATTGATCACAAATTTGCCTGGGATTCCCTTTCCCAAAGGAGGGAACAGAAATTAGGAGGCCTCTTTGGGATGGCACTAGAGCATGAAAGGCATCAGAGAAAATATGTAGGCAGATTTTTTTTTTTCCTTTCCTTTTCTCTGAGGTTTTACCTTTAAAAGAGCCAACATCCTTACTTGGTATTTTTAATAGAAATCTAATACATAGCCTTATACTAGCATGGAGTCTTGAGAAATTATGTTTGTTATAAGTGTATTTAATGTTGTCAGTTACCGAGAGTCATCAGAGGATGACCCATATTACCTCAGCTTCCATAAAGTTAAATATGTCCTATGTACTAACTGTTAAAGTGATTAAAGAAATTAGAGACTATTAATTAATGTTAACACAATTTTACACTTTTGGCATGTGAAACCTGTGAAAGGAGATATAAAACAACAAGAATTTGGTGCTGCAGAAAAATAAATGTGAGTTAATTTTTTGCAGTATCAAATTAGAATTTCTTTCCTGCTGTTTTAATCTAATATTTATTTAGGTCTTTACAGAAAACAAAGTACCCTTTAAGTCTATATTCTAATTTCCACTTATTTTTAAAAAGTCTTAATTTTGTGTGTTTATACAGAATTATTAACCGTATTTTACCGACTAAAAATCTTATCTCCTTTGCCCAGAGTCAGCTAGCTAGTAAGAAGGAGAGATTAAAAATTCTCCAGATTTTTAATCCTGAGTTATTTCATACCATACCATTATGAAGACCCTAACTAATAATAGTAGTTTTTTTTCTCTATTTAAAATTTCTCTTGATTAGAGGATTTTCAAATTCTCCAAATAATTTTTTATAGCCAGGTCTATGCTGTGGCATATTTTATAGTATTTTAATTGAAAATATTATCCACATACCAGCATAAGAGCAAGTAGCATCTACTTTTTAAGTGAGAATAGCAGTAGCTCCATCAAAAGTGTGCTTTGAAGGTAAAAATCATGAAACAGAAGTATATGAAGTGAATTCTATCAAACTAATCATAACCAAGAAATAGCATGAAGCAGGTATTATTTGGAGGACAAGTGAAATTTATTGGGAGAATTGCACAAATCACCTGTAATCTCACTATCTGGAGATAGCCATTGTTAACATTTGGTATGTACATTCTTCTATTTTTCTTCTATGCATGATTTTGTATATATGAATATTTTTCTTTCCACAGATATGGTATGAAGCTGTATATATTGTTCGTGTTCTGTAAATTTCATATAGAAGTAATATTGTTAACATTTTCTCATGTCAATAAATATTCTGTGGCATAATTTTTTTTATTGTGGTAAACTATGTATATAACATAAAATTTGCCCGTTTAGCCATTATTAAGTATATGTACAGTTCAGTGGCGTTAAGTACACCTATAATGTTGTGCAGCCACCACCACTCTCTATTTCCAAAACTTTTTCATTACCCTAAACAGAACTCTGTGGCCATGTAAGCGGTAATTCCCCATTCTTCTGTCCCCCAGCTCCTGGTGACCTCTAATGTACTTTATTTCTCCATGTATTTGTCTGCCCTAGATACCTCATGTAGGTGGAATCATACAGTGTTTGTTCTTTTGTGTCTGGCTTCTTTCGTTCAGCATGTTATCAAGGTTCATCCGTGTTGTAGTCTGTATCTGAATTCCATTCCTTTTCATGGCTGAATAGTATTCCATATTTGTATACACCATATTTTGTTTATTCATTCCATGGCATAACTAGTTCACATCCAATTTGTAAGTTGTTTCCACACTGAAAACTACATTACTGTGTGCAGATTTTTTTATATAGTTCTGATTACTTCCAGAGGAAAAATTTCTAGAAATGTAATTTCTTGGTCAACAGTTTCTACCATCTAATAGCTTTGGATTGGTTTAGCCAAATTCCTCTCTAGAAGAGTTTTACCAGTTATACCCCAATTAATAGTGTGTTAGAATATGCTTAGAATACCAGTCAAAAACATGGTAAAATAGGCAGTCTGGTAGATAAACATTCCAATCTCTTTTTGTTGTCAAATAATTATAAACTCACAAGAAGTTGCAAAAATAACGTAG